ATGTACGGGACTAAAAGCCAGGGGCTGATCCACCGGTGCTCTTGCGAACAATCATTGGTTGAGCGTTTTTCCATGTCCAGCTGCAGGAACAATTCTTTGTGCTTGTTTGACGCGATCACAATCAATCATTCATTTCATTCAGAATGTAAAAAGAACATTTTGTACTGTACAAGTGCAGATTCCCTATGGAAAAACCAAGCTCGAATTGATCCAACACACACACACACACTGTAGTACCCAATCTGCATGACATCGAACATCCCTTGCTATAATTACTGTAGTTCATTTGTGGCACCAGCTTGCAATGGACGGTGACACGGTCACACCCGAGTCGCATGAGCTACGCACCATCCTCAGACAAGAGGGCCGGATTTCTCCCGCAAGATTGATTTCCTGGTCTGGCGTATGCTGACGAAGAATTTTGTTTCTTACGGAAAGTGTGTCACGCACACTTTAAGCCTTAAGCCAATTGCAAGTGAAGCAAACTTGCACCGCGATGTTTGCACAGCGACCTGAAAAGCCCAGCTCCAAGGCATCCCTGTGGACGACACAGATGGTGGAACTGAACATGAGGGACAGCAGACGGCCCAGACGGAGAAGAACGACGGTGAAGCCGATGGTGGGAAGCCGATGGCCCATCCCCCTGCAGACGTCAACCTGAACTTCAACTCGCTCTATGAGGAGGCGACTGGCTCCATTGGCATTGCTCAGACCTGCAATCCTTGTCAGACCCGCCAGGTGTCCAGTTTAATGGTTCAGCTGCAGGCAGCACATCGGCTTTTGCAGGAAGCTCATCAGAAGGCCTTTTGGATGCAACGTCATGACACACAACACACAGACACAGACACCGGCGCACGTACGTACGTCAGAACCTCCACTTGAAGGTAGGCTTTTGAAGATTGACTAGTTCATTAGCTGGGTGATCCCAAGCAATTGAGCAAAAAAACTAGGTCACCAGGTCTTTCATTTCCTTCTTTCCGTGCTGCAGCTCCGTGTGGTGTTCGCCCAGGACATTTCGCGACGAAGGAAGAAGCTGCGACCGCCCAGGGAGCCCAAGCGTAGGAGGAGTTTGAGCGAGACTGTGCCTTAGCCGAGTGGTCTAAACCTGGAGATCTCGGACAGGTGGGGCACAGGAGGATGTGGATTGAGTCGACCAAATTCAGAAGAGTGAGCAAGAGCAGCCAGCTCTTTGGGGATGTGGGCACATGTTGGGCAAGTTGGCAAAACGAAGAGGGCTTCCAGGCGGTATGTTCAGCATGTTGGATTCCAAATCCAGTGATCGAGGGCGTGAAACGGGTTTGAAACAAGTGAGATTTCAATGACAGGAACCCCGATACGAGCAATGCAAGAACGGAAGGAGAAAATGGATTGTGCCAGCCCATTCGATTGTTCATCCAAGGGTCTGTAGCAAGGGCACCAAGAGAAGATGACCATCATTGGTAGGGGAAGGGTGTTGAGGGCATACCTGCAAAGAGGCAGGGGGGCCACATAGTCATCCAGGTGATTCAACTGCTCAGCCCCTGGTTTTGGGCAAGGACTCCAAGACCACAGTTGGTCCGATTCATGTTTCGGATTTTTTTGCATGCTCAGATGTGATTGTGTAGCACGAGTACAGCTCAGGAAGATGTCAATGCAGCGAATACAGTGGTCGAGGACGGGAGATCGTTCTGATGCTCACTACACATATTTGCCCGCTAATTAGTTCTGTTCAAGGATTTTGTGAACTGGGGGTGGAAACGACTTTTTGATATGGTCCAAGTCGCCAAACCTGCATACAGAGGCCCATCCGCTCTGGAGAGTCAAGGGAACAGTATGGATGTGTGTCACTAGGTTCGGAGTGCAACTTTTGCTTTCGCATGTGGCTATGATGGTGTCAGGTCAAGGCTACACTTCATTGCAGCCTGTCGGCCTGTAGGGTCACGGCTGCTGCCGCTACTGCTGACTACTGCCCCCCTCTGCGGAACGTTGGCCTGACCAAACCTGACTCACACCGAAGACCAAACTGCCAACGATCGCTCCTGCTTGGCTCGCAGGACAAGCCCCGCCACAAGCATGAGCACAGTGGAGCCGGAACCGGGTTTGGGTGATCGGATTGATCCAATTTTTGCAGCACTTTTTGGCAAAGATGTGGGTCGAACAGCTCAACGAACCCTGTGGCAGGACGCTCTTCGACAGTTGCAGGAGATACGACGCTTGCCCAAAACAGCTCGGTTGTTCAACCTGCCTTTGGTGTTTGCCTTTCTTTCACTCACCTCCCACCTATCACTCTCACACCCTCACACCACTCACTCCACTCGCTTCACTCTTTCACACCACTCTCTTGAACACACGCGCACATACACGCACACTATCTCTTTTCCTTTCTTTCTTTCTTTCTTGCTTTCTTTCTTTCTTTCTTTCTTTCTTTTTTTTTCTTTCTTTCTGTGTCTCTCTCTCTCTCTCTCGCCTTCCCCCCTCTGCCTCTCCCTCCCTCTTTCCCTCCCTTCCTCCCTCTCCTCCCTCTTTGCTGCACTGAAACTGACCCATGCAAGTTTGCCTAGGTCGTCTTCAGATGAAGGAGGTGAATGTTGGTTGAAGAAATGCTGCAAGTCATATGAAAAAAGAGTCCGGGACACCTACAAGGAGTTCTGTCCAGAACCGGGGATGCAGGATGAGAACGAGAAGAAGGCGAAAAAGAAGCAGGAGTTTGGGAAGAGGGTTTAATGCCCGAGCATGGATAAAAGCACTGTGCAGAATCTCAAAATGAAGAATGACAAACAGGAGCAGGCTCATTATGCCCTGCCCCCACAGGAGGAGCAGCGGTTGAAAGACACATGGCGAGCACGATCTGCAGACCGCTTGGGACTACACTGGCTACATATGTTGGGGGCTTTTGCAGACAGCTTCGCCTTCAAGGTGCTAGCCAAGCGGTTAGGTCTTTATACTGCTGTTTAGAACAGGCCAAGCACAGATTTCATCGCAGACATTGCACCAGTATGAAGAATCCTGGCAAGTAACATCAAGTAACGTTTGCAAGAGATGCCGAAAACAAACAATAGCAAAGGGTGAATCAAGAGAAGGCTTCGTACCAAGTGCGTTTAAAATTTTCCGCGACGGGTACCAAGTGCGTTTAAAATTTTCCGCGACGGTGCGTGCTTCGAAGGCACAAACACAACAAAGCCCTTGCATGCATTCGTGTGCAAGCACGTCGCCGGGTTGGCTTGTTTTGTTGGATGTTTGTGACCAGAAGGTTGTGCCCTGAGCGCAGTTTGCGACACTTTCGAAAGCGTGAAAACGCACTAGCGGCGCACATCCTTCAAACACGGGTTGAAATCCTTACAGCGCTATGTTTTTGTGTGCATCAGGGTGATGGCACAGACATATTGACACTTGGAAGGCCAGTATGTGCAGATGTTTGCCATCGGCTCAGAAATTAGCAAGTGGCAGTTGGCAGTTCCTGGCTCGAGAATGCAGGCAAACACACAAAAAAAAGGTAGCAGTAGCGACAGCTTGTAATTGTAATTATATATAGTCTATGCGCCCTGCTGCTCTGCAACATGTTCAGGTTCGCAGGCAGTGGTGTCAGATTTGTTTATATAACTTGTCATTTTTCAAGCACAACGACCAGAGGTCCATGAGTTGTTCTTATGGGAAGGGAAGCTCCTGGTTCGGATTTTGGCATGCAGCATTTGCTTCATCTGAAATGGGTCCTCATCACTTCATATGGCCATCTCGGCTAGCGTTTCTCATCAGCCATGTGGTGGCACATCATTTGCGAGGGTGGCTCAGCATTTGCGATTGCGATGTTCCTTTGGCCATCAGAAGCGGCCTCGGTGTCCTTAGCTGCCTCTAGCTGCTCCCTGCTGTTGACCGCTTCCAGGCAAGGACGGACAACAGTTCACGAGACTTATATATCGCTCCGGAATGAGTGGGCCATGACAAGTGCCCTGCAAGTGATCTGTGCGCAGACAGGGGAAACCCACCTGAGTGACTAGAAGTGTTGTTGCTTTCCTTCTATCAACTGTTTGAGAAAGCCTCAAGTTGGGATGAGTGCACGCCCCCCAAAATGATACAACCGTGGGCATGTTCGGTGTGGTGTGGTATGCTTCAGGTTTCATTCACAGCGCTAGTGCATTGGGAATAGCATCGGGAGTTGCAAGTCGCAAACATCGCATTGGAATGGTCCGTGTGAGGTGTGTGCTGGTTTGCTTCGCTTGAATTGGAGAATGCTTCTGGGTTGGTTTTCTCCTGCAGGGTTTTTGTCCACCAACCATCTACATTCGGTTGATTTGGACCCAGTGAGTTGCTTGTGTTCATTAAGAAAAGCACTACTCAATAAGGTAAAGGACCTGGTTTTACTGGATCCTTTTTGATCTGTGGGGCAAAATGGACCTTCTGACAAACATGTCCTTCTACATACTGTAATTCTTTAAATAAGTCCCTACCTAGAGCAAGCAATGCAGAACACAGGCAGACGTTTCTAGAGAAAGTTAGTATGGAAGTCAGTTTTGGGCAGGGAAGAGCACCCAAACGTGGTAGACATGTCTAAACGAACGAAGAGCACATAGTCGTAGAGATTTTGAACGAGCGAGCAGTGCACCACCGTGGACCTCCACATCACTACATTGCACTTCACGACACTCAAGTTCACCGCATTGCCAACCATTACACCAACCACCAAACCAAACACTCACTTCAGAACTTCACACCACTCCGCCTCATGTGGGTGCACCAGCCAACCACATGATAAACCACCACACCAAGAACGGCAGATCACCAATCATCGCCAGGCTACACTTCGTCGCATCACTTGACTTCACGACGCCGTGCTTTGTTCACTACACACTACCCTTCACAACGCCTCAAATGGGAACATCAGTAGTGGATGGAGTATCCGGAGTATCGTGTTCACTTGTTGGGAGAGAAGCGCAAGAGTTGTGCATTTCTCCTTGTGCATGAGCATGGTTTAGTGACCTTGACTTTGTTTACATATTCAATGGCATCACGACCAAGGGGTTTCTTGTCAGAACACCTAGGAGAATGGCTTCGCCATCAGATGAGTAGATGTATGCTTATCAATATAGTAAAAATAGACAAATATAGACCGTGTATATATATATATAAACATAACACGCATATATATCACACACACATACATACATACATACATACATACATACATACATACATACATACA